CCGCGGCGCCGAGCCCGGCCACTGCAGCCCCCGCCCTGCCCGCCCCCCTAGACGTTTCCAGAGCTAGAGAGTGCGAGCTCCCATTTGGGGGGAAAGTAGTGGAAAATATCATAGGGTTGGGGAGCTATTGATGTCTGAGATCCTCTCTTTCCGTGCTGTCAGTTGAGCCCGGGTGCAGTGGGATGAAGCCAGTTGTGGGGGCTCACTTTCCTCATCTTCCCCCATGATTGAGGGAGATTTCCCTCTCCGGATTATACCTTCTGTCTAATCTTCCCTTCCCCTACCCTCAACTATTCCCGCTGAGGGAAGGGCAGGGTCTCTGTCCCTTCTCCTGGTTCTCCTGGTTGGGACTGCAGAGCTGTCTGTGAGATGCAGCAGGTGTGTGTTTTAAGCATTGCCCACCAGCTCCTGATGTACAGCCTGAGGTTGGGGTGTTGCTTTGTCCAGTGACTAGATGTGGGAGTGGGATGTGGTGGTCCTCCATCACATCTGTTCAGTGTCATGCAGTGGCCTCATCCTTCTGCCCCACGTTGGATGGCGATGGTCACTATGCTGGTGTGTGTGATTTTGACTAAAGGGATGGTAATGCGATCATCGCTGTTCTCAGACCCGAAGCGTGTCTGTGTCACTGTGCTCTGCTCCGTGTCCCAGTTCTTTCCCCCTTCTCCCTCCAGGGGTGCTTTCTCTGTGGTCCGCAGGTGTGTGAAGAAAACCTCCACGCAAGAGTATGCAGCAAAAATCATCAATACCAAGAAGTTATCTGCCCGGGGTGAGTGTTCCCCCATCTTGGCCTCTCATTAGACTGCCTCGAAGGGCTATAGCTTCTGAAGATGTTCCAGGAATTAGGAGTTGTGCATTTTAGCCCCTGCAGAAGAATTGAGATTTCAGGGTTGGTTGACTTGGAAGCCAGGCAAGGAGTTGCATGGGGAACCAGAAGTGCTCAGGTAGAAAAGAATGAGAAAGATGTAAGACATGGAGATAGCTATGAGAAGGAATGGTCCCTGAAGGCTCAAGGGAGTTTGGTTTTTAAGGGAAGAGGAGATGTGGGGAGTGGTGGTAGCATGGAATGGGGAGCTCTAAATTTGGAGTCTCTGTGTTGGGGGTAGTGGTAGCCACCCCAGGCCTGTCCTATTCCCTGTGCCCCAGTGGTGACTTAGGATGGAAATGCAGTAAGTGAACAGCTCTGACAAATCCAGCCTCCCCCTGCCCACCAGGCGGCAGAACAGACTCCCAAGGGAAGGGAATCTGTAAACATCAGGGGAGGCTGCTACTGGCGAGGGCTTCTCGGGAACAAATCCTGCCAGATGAACTTGATTGCTTTTTTGATCAAATTACAAAGTTGGTGGTGCAGCAGCAGATGCAGCCTGTCCTGGGGAGAGGGTGATGCCTCATGGTCTGGAAATCTCAATTGCCTGGCCCGGGTGGGAGCAGCATTGCGTCCAGATCTGAGGATTGTGAAGGCCCAGGCCTTGGGGCCTGCTTTGTGAGATCCTCCCAAGTACCTGAGGCCAGGAGGGTGAGGCCCTGTCTTTCACACCTCGAACCTACACTCCCTGAACCTTGTATTGGGTGCTTGCCAAACTCACCTCATCTGATAGGTATAGACCCAGCAATGTGTGAAGTGCTATGTGAACAGGTCTAGTGAGTACAGAGGTAATGTGGATGGATCGTCATCGAGGGCGACAAAGGTTATTAGACTCAGAGAAAGGAATTAGTATGGGGCAATGGGATGCCACAAATATATTAGGAGCCAGGACAGACACCCTGGGGAAGGTGAGGACTGTGGTTAACAGTGACCCAGGCGTCTCTGGGGTAAGAGATACAGTAAATGTCCCTCAGCATCAGAGAAGCTGTTAAATTCCACAGAGATGACAGTGGGCTTCTGTTATGTGTACAGTTGTTCTGGGACCTGTTTACCAAGGCTGTGTCTGCCTCCTGTCTGGGAGGGCTTCTCTTTATCCCCCAAAACAGAGCTTGTCTTACTGTCTCCTTCCCAGCTCCCACTTCTTGCCATTCCTCTAATTGGCTATGAAGTTGACTTATTTGTTTGTTTTCTTTCTCTCTGGGTACCTTGAGTCGGAGGCGATGGTTGCCATAGAGATATGTGGGCAGTCAGATGCCCTCCTCCCCTGGGGTAGGGGATGACACAGTGGGCTGGGCTCTTTGGCAGACATCCTCTGGCCAAGGGTGCAGGGTGCAGGCAGAGACGACAGTTCTAGAGTGGATACCTCCCTGTGCCCACGCAGCATAGCCCTGGTGCATCAGAAATGGGGCTGGTGTCTGGTGTCTCCAGTTAGTGATGCAATGCTTAGCATTCCTCATCTCACCAGTGTCCTCTGACCCAGGGGTAAGGGAGGGAGGGACTCTAGGAACCAAACTCTAGGATGTGAAGATAGCTGTTGTGGTGACTTTGTGGAGCTGCCTGCCTTTGGTTGTCATTTCCTTCTCCTTTCCTACCCACCTGAACTTTCCTGACCTGTGTCATCATGTTCTATTCCCTTCCTCACCTCCTTTCAACCTTGTCTTGGTTTTCTGACTGACATCTTTCTTTCCCTGCCCAAACTGGATGAGGTTTGGTTTCTCTTTGATTTTTTTTTTTTTTTCCTCAAGAAAAGGATTCTTGTGTAAGATCATATGCTTCAGACATCAACTCCCCCTCTCTCGAGATGGTTATGCCAAGACTGGGGCTTTGTTGTATGGCTTGCGTGCCAGGTTAACTTAGGGACAGAGGCCTGGTCCTGGCTGATAGGCACAGGTGCCAACAAGACGGGTCAGGAATCTGTCGGTGCCAGTACCGTTTGGAGGTGGGAGAGTGGGAGGGTGTTGTCTTGGAGATGGAGGGACCAAGCTGGGGGCTGTGCTGTAGGTGTGGGCACAGGGGATGTGAGCTTGTGGAGAGTTGGGCCAGGGTGCCCACTACGCTGGTGCCCATGGGGTTAGGGAGTGAAGGCCGTGGCTTCCCTGCAGCCTCTCAGTTTACGCTGTATATTTTATAAAGGTGCAGCAGCTGGGGCTGGGTTTCACTCGTCACTGTCTGTCTGTCTAGGGCTCCGCAGGTGTTGGATTTCTGTGTCTGGGAATGTGGTGGGCCCACTGGAGTCATCCATGAGGGTCCGAAGGGGCTTGCTCTGTTTGCTGAGTCTCTCTGCCTTTTCCTTTCTTGTTTGTGATTTTCTGTGCTGTAAGTCGAAAGGAAAGAAAAGGGTATCAAGCTGCTTCTCCTTGGCATCCATGGAAGTGTTCAGGAGGCATGGGGAGAGATCACCTGGTCTTATGGGGGATCTGATATGGATGGGAATCCTTCTTTTGCTCTGTTGTTTCTTGTCATTGCGGCTTCAGAGGCCCACGTTCATAGCCGTGTTACAAGGTAGGGCGTGCGTGTGCCTGTGCATTGAGCACCGTCTTTGTCTGCTGGCCTGTCTACATAAAGTCACTGGAAGTCACAAAACGTCACTCCCTTTGCTTGGAACATTGATAGGTGTGGAGTTGGGGCTCTGAAGGGAGCCTGTGGTTCCAAGCTTAGCTCTCCACTAGGCTGAAGGAGGCATTTAAAATAGGCTTGGATGCAGGAGCTAGTGGGCCAGGTGATGGCAATGATAAGTCGTTATTTTAAGATTTAAGAGCACCCCCCAAGGAGCCTGAGCCCTTATGTCTTTTTTTATTTTTAAATCTTCATATTCCCTTCTTATCTTTATTCATATGCATATAGATTTTCACCTCGTGGAGCCTAACATTTTATATCCTGCTCTCTTGCTTACATCCAAAGCGTTTCCCCATATTGCTATAGTTGAAGGGCAAATGGTCCTTTCTTCTTCCGTAGTTTAGGATTTATCCTTGGAACAGTTAGTATTATAAGAAATCTCTGTATTTGGACCATTTATCCGGATTCCAGTTGCTTTTACTACAGTGGATACTTGGCCTTACTAAGAGATGCTACCAGAAACAGTATTTTGAAATCTGTTACAGCACTTGCTATGTCTATTTATTTAGTCTGTATACCCCCTACCCCCGTGAAGAAATTTCTATTGAGGCTAAATGTAAGCAAGCTTTCCTCTTCCTGAGGACCTGTGAAGTGAGGGTAGGAACCATATCTATTTCTTCACTTCTGTGCAGGCAGGGCCCAACAAAGTGCCTGACACATACCTAGCCTATAACATGTTGAATGAATGGATTCAAAGGACCACATAACCGGTCATGGTTGCTTCTTGGCTTTGGCTGTCAGGAAACTCGGAGCCAAGTTGTAGGAACCCTCGTACCTTGTGGCTGGCTTGGGTTCCCCCTTTGTGAATCCATGGAGCCAAGCTGTAAGCCTGACATGACTGTTGGAGAGGACACATGAAGTTATAGACCGTGCTTGGGGCATATATGGTAGATGGGCGATGTAGGAAGATGGTGTAGCTTATGATTCTTTCTTCCCTTCAGAAATGACCTTATAGGGCAATGTTGGGACTTCCTCTCAGCCACAATTTTCAATTTTAGTATGTGTAAGGATCACCTGAGTACTGGTTAAAAAATACAGATTCCTAGTCTCCATCCACAGAAGGTCTGGGGTTGGGTCCCAGAATCTAAATTTTATACAGGTGCCCTAGTGAATTTCATGCAGGTGGTCCCTCAGCCATGCTTTAAGAAATGCCATCTAAAATCAGTAACAGCATCAACAATCACTCTTGCCACATTCTCCGAGATTACCAGACAAACCTTGGCCCAGCCTTTTCTAGGTGGCATCTCTGCCTGTATGTGGCCATCTGTGCACATGGGCTTTTCTGTGATTAGGGGCCTCCTTCTGAGCCCCCAGATTGAGGTGTCAGTCTGTGTCCAAGCCTGTGGCAAGCTGAGTGGCTGAGATTGTGGTATGTTGGCCACCAGAAGGGCAAAGGCTGTCCCTTTCTGGGTCCAGCTGGCCCTGGGGATTGAAATAGGATCCCCCTGGGTGGTGCCAGCTGTAAGTCCCCACCCCCTTAGTGTTGGCCTGAGTAGCCCCCATGACATTTGTGTCCCCTGTGGTATCTCCAAATGAGACTTTCCTGTTAAGGATCTGGGTGAAGTGAGGGGAGGCAGAGAGGGGAGGGTGAAGCAGCAGTGCGGGAGGGGTAGAAGGAAGAGAGATCTATGCAGCACTGGAATGCCAGGACTCTGCGACTTGAGGAAGCATTTAAGGAGGTTGTATGCAGAACTGTGTTTTCCTCCTGAGGATAATAGGCCAGTCAGTTTCTGTTGACAGAGAGATGGGCATCCTGTGTATAAGTGACTGAGCTCCACTGACTCGTCCCCCTAAGTGGATGAGAAAACAGCCTGGAGGTCCCTTCTCTGTGCCAAGGCTTATGCTGGGCCGGTTTTGTCATACAGTCACGCTGTGAGCTATGTGTCTTAGTTCATACACCACTGGCCTGTCACCCTGCCATCCTGTCCACCTTCCCAGAGTGACTTCGGGTGCTAGCCTCATGGGGTGGGGATGGAGGTTGGAAGGTGGCCCCATCCTTGATCTCTTCCTGCTGCTTGCCCTGGTCTCTTGTCAGAAGCTGTGTTCCAAGCTTCGAGGCTATGCTGAAACCCTAGAGGTGAGTGGCTGACCCCATTCTCTGGTGAGGCTACAGGCAGGGAAGGGGAGGCGTGGGTATGATGGGCTCCCGTCCCCATCTCTGTGCTCGCTCTCTGGACAGCCTTGGCAGGCCAACAAGGGCCTGATCCCATGGGTGCCAAAAGGGTGATGACAGGAAGAGATGGGCACTTTGCACCTCTTGAGTGCCTCTCAGCAGAGGCCTTTGTCAT